CTGTCACTTCTTCCACAAGGTCCCCCGAGACATACAGGAGGGATTTGGTGGAGACATCCCATTTAGGACTGAAGGTCTCTCACTCTCTGCATAATGTCTGGCTGTGGGTCTCTGTATTTGCCCCCACCTGCTGCAGAAGGGAGTCTTTCTAATGATGGGTTCTATCTTTTGGAGTGGGTCTTACATCAAATGGGACACTGGCTGGTAGCTCCCACAAGATTTGTGTCACTATTGTACTAATATTTCTTGCAGGCATTGCAGATCCAAGGGTTTGTGGCTGTGGTGATGTTTAAGTTTCTACCTTGGTAGCATTCAGAGGACTTTCCTGAACCAAAGCCATGAGAACATAGTGGGGAAGGCTTTATGAAAGCACCAGCTCAACTGCTTCGTATTCAATCAGTTGTGTAGGTGTTGGCTTCAGTAATAGGGCCTTGATGTCAGTTTATGACTAGCAACCTATAATCATGACAGTAGCCTGTGCTGTTTGGGGGTTTCCATGGGAACCCTTTAGCCAACATCAGATGTAACCCAATTTCAGTACTGGAAACTTCATTGTGTAACAAGAGATGGGCAGTTGAGGTTCTATCCCCTGCATTATTGAGTGATTTCATTTAGACTGCCTTCATATATTTTAGGAAACTTTTACTCTACTACATTTCCATACTACCCCTCAAATGCACCTTAATTTTAGCTGGTTCTCCATGCATTCCCTACCTCATTCCCTTTCTCATTTCTCCTCCTCAATTGATTCTTCAATTCCAGTTCCCCTGCCCCATCCATCCCTAACTACCTATTCTAGTTTACTTTCCTAACGAGATCTATCAGACACTCCTTACTCTATATCTACCCTCTGTGGCTCTATAGATTGTTATGGTTCTATCATTGACAAAGCAGCTAATCTCCACACATAAGCAAATACATACCATATTTGTCTTTCTGGTCCTCAGATACCTCACTCAGAAGAAGTTTTTCTCATTCCATTCATTTGTGTGCAAATGTCATGATTTTTTTAACAGCTCAGTAACCCTCCATTATGTAAATGTACTTCATTTTCTTTATTGATTCTTCATTTGAGGAACATCTAGGTTGTTTCCAGGTTCTGGCTATTACAGATAAAGCTGCTATGAATACAGTTGAGCACATGTCCTTGTGGTATGATTGACTATCCTTTGGGTTTATGTCAAGGAGTAGTATAGCTAGGTCTTGAAAGGTAGACTCCCAATTTCCTGAGAAACTGCCTTATTGATTTCCAAAGTGGCTGTACAAGTTTGCACTCCCACCACAGTGAAGGAGTGTTCTCCTTGCTCCACATCTTCTCCAGCATGAGCTGTTATTTGTGTTTTTGATCTTAGCCATTCTGACAGGTGTGAGATAGAATCTCAGAGTCAATTTGATTTGCATTTCCCTAATGGCTAAGGGTGTTGAACATTTCTTTAGTGCTTCTCAGCAATTTGAGTTTTCTCTATTGAGAATTCTCTGATTAGATCTGTACTCCTTTTTGAAATTGGATTTTTTGATTTTGTGATATCTAGTTTTTTAAATTCTTTATGTATTTTTGATATTAGCACTCTATTAGGTGTGGAATTGGTGACAACCTTTTCCCACCTGTATGTTGCTACTTTGTCCGAATGATTGTCTATTTGCCATGTAGAAAATTTTCGGTTTTTCTTTCTCAGTCTGTCATTTGTGTACAGGAAGGTGGAATGGCTGGTTTTGTGTGTAGCTTGACACAAGCTAAAGTCATCAGAGAGAAAGGAGCCTCAGTTGAAGAAATGCCTCCATGAGATCCAGCTGTAAGGTATGTTCTCAATTAGTAATAAATGGGGGAGGGTCCAGACAGTTGTAGGTGGTGCCATCCCTGGTCTGATGGTCCTGGGTTCTATAAGAAAGCAGGCTGAGCAAGCCATAAAGAGAAACCCAAAATAAGTAGCACCCCTCCATGGCCTCTGCATCAGCTCTTACCTCCAGTTTTCTGCTCTGAGTTCCTCTCCTGACTTCCTTCAGTGACGAACAGCAGTGTGGAAGTGTAAGCCAAATAGACCCTTTCCTCCCCTACTTGCTTTTTATTCATAGTGTTTCATCACAGCAATAGAAACACTAACTAAGACAGAGAACTACTGCTTTTGTGAGCTAATTTTCAGTTCAGCTACTTTGATGAAAGTGTTTATTGGGTGTAGAAATTTTACAGTGGAAATTTTCAGGTTGCATATATATATACATACATATGTTTATATAAAATATGTATACTATCCCATTATCTGAAAATAAAGATACTTTGACTTCTTTCCTATTTGTATCCCCATGATCTCCTTTAGTTGTCTTATTTCTTTAGCTAAAAGTTCAAGTACTATATTGAATAGAAATGGAGATTATGGACAACTTTGTCTTGTTCCTGAATTTTGTGGGATTGCTTTGAGTTCCTTTCCATTTAATTTGATGATGGCTATAGGCTTGTGTAAACTGCCTTTATTATGTTGAAGTATATCCTTTGTATCCCTAATCTCACCAGAACTTTTATCATGAAGGTGTATTAGATTTTGTCAAAGTCCTTTTCTGCATTTATGAGATGGTCATGTGGTTTCTACCTTTCAGTTTGTTTGTATGGTAGATCACATTTATCAATTTATGTATGCTGAACCATCATTGCATCTCTGAGCCTGTGTGATCATGATGGATGAACTTTACCATGTGTTCTTGGGTATGGTTTCCGATGACTTTCTTGAGTATTTTTGCATCTATGTTCATAAGGAAATTGGTCTGTTATTTCTCTTTCTTTGTTGAATCTTTAAGTTGTTTGGGTATCAGGGTAAATTGCGGCCTTTGTAAAATGAATTGGGTATTGTTTTTCTGTTTCTATTTTGTAGAATAATGTGAGGAGTATTGGAATTAACTATTCTTTAAAAGTCTGGTAGAATCTTGGGCTGTTTTGGTTGGGAGACCTTTAATGACTGCTCTATTTCACTAGGATTTATATCTGTTTAAACTGCTTTTCTGATATTGTTTTAACTTTGGTAAGTGGTACCTATTAAAAAAATATCCATGTCCTTTAGATTTTTTAGTTTGGTGCAGTACATGTTTTTAAAATATGTCCTTATGGTTCTCTGTATTTTCTTGATGTCTGTTGTTATGTCCCCATTTTCATTTTTGATTTTGTTAATTTGGGTCTTCTCTCTGACTTTTAAGTGATTTAGATAAGGGTTTCTCAATCTTACTGATTTCCTCAAAGACCCAAATCTTTGTTTTATTGATTCTTTGTATTGTTTTGTTGTGTTTCTGTTCTGTTGATTTTAGCCCTGAGTTCGACTACTTCTTGTCATCTATGCCTTTTAGGTGTGATTTCTTCTTTTGGTTCTAGAGCTTTTATTTGTGCTGTTAATTTACCAGTGTGAGATCTCTCCCATTTTCTTTTATGTAGGCACTTAGTGCTGTGACATTGCCTCTTAGAACCACTTTCATTATATCCACAAGTTTGGGTATGTTTTCATTCATGTTCATTCAATTCTAGAAAGCTTTAAATTTATTTTTAATTTGTGTTGTGCCCCCTTTTCCACCCAGTACTGAGATGTTCGGTTTCTTTATGTTTGTAAGCTTTCTGTTGTTACTGTAATTGTTGATATCCAGCTTTAATCTGTGGGGATCAGATAGAATTCAAGGTGTTATTTTGATTTTCTTGTATCTGTAGAGACTTGTTTTGTGTCCAAGTATGTGGTCAGTTTTGGAGAAAGTTTTGTGAGGTGTGTTTGGGTGAAATAGTCTGTAAATATTTGTTAGATCCATTTGGTTTATAACATCAGTTAGCTCCTGCATTTCTCTGTCTAGCTTTTTTCTGAATGACCTGTCCATTTTTGAGAGTGGGGTATTGAAGTCTCCCACTATCAGTGTGTGAAGGTCATTGTGTGATTTAAGCTGTAGCAGTGCTTCTTTTACGAACTTGGGTGTCCTTGTGTTTGGTGTATAGATGATAAGAATTGAAATGTCCTATTGGTAGATTTTTTTTGATGAGTATGTAGTGTCCTTCTGTATCTCTTGTGATTAGTTTTAGTTTGAAGTCTATTATGTTAGGTATCAAAATGGCTACACCAGCTTATTTCTTAGGTCCATTTGCTTGAAATATCTTTTCCAACACTTTACCCTGAGACAATGTCTAGCCTCAACTTTATAATGTATTTATTGTATGCAGGAGAAGGATGGATTCTGTTTTCACCTCCATTATGTTAGTCTGTTTCTTGTAATTGGGTAATTGAGACCATTGATGTTGAGAGATACTAATGAGCAGCTTTTGTTGATCCCTGTTATTTTATAGCTGTGGTATTTGTGTGTGTGTGTGTGTGTGTGTGTGTATGTGTTTGCTTGTGTTTCCCTTTTTTGGTTTGCTAGTCTGTAATTATTTATTTATTGTGTTTTATTAATGTGGTTAACTTCCTTAAGTTGGACTGTTACTTCTGGTACTTTCTGTAGAGCTGAATTTGTAGGTAGATATTCCTTAACTTTGATTTTATGATGGAATATCTTATTTTATCTACCTATTATAATTGAAAGTTTTTTGGGGTAGTAGTCTGGGATGGTATCTGTGGTCTTTTAGAGTCTGTAACACATCTCTTCAGGCCCTTGTGGCTTTTAGAGTCTTCATGGAGAAGTCGAATGTAATTCTAATAAGTCTCTTTATATGTTACTTCATATGAGTCTGCTTTTATATGTTACTTGGTCTTTTTCTTTTCTAGCTTTTGATATTTTTTCTTTGTTCTGTACATCTATTGTTTTGATTATTATGTACAAGAGGGATTTTCTTTTCTGATCTAATATATTTGGTGCTCTGGATGCTTCTTGTGCTTTGATAGGAATCTCTTACTTTAGGTTTGGAAAACTTTCTTCTGTGATTTTGTTGAAAATATTTTCTGTGGAGAGTCTCTGAAACCTGGAGATACAACGTTTCCCTGCCTGGATTTGGAGGCCTATCACCAGTATCCAACTCAGGATCATTATTCCTGAAACCAGCCACAATGAGACATCAAGCCCCACCAACACTCCAGCAGCTAGCGTTCGAGAGCCTACTGAAGAAGGAGGCCTTGACCATTTCTGGTCTAGCCGGCTTGCCCTGGTTCCTGTTCCCAGCAGCATTTGAGAGGGCCTTCAGGAACAATCAGACCAACATCCTGCGGGCCATGGTGCCTGCCTGGCCATTCACAAGCCTTCCTGTAGGAATCCTGATGAAGACCCCACACCTGGAGACTTTGAAAGCTCTACTTGATGGACTAGATGTGCTGATTACAGAGGAGCCTTGCCCCCGCCGCGGGAAAATCAGAGTGCTGGATTTGACAAATAGGGATACCTGTGTCAATCGGAGTCAATCCTGTGAAAGGGAATTCTTTCTTCAGTTCACGAGAGAGAAGACAGTGGAGACGTGTCCTTACTCACGAGGAAAGAAATATCTACATGTCATAAATGATCTAAAAATCATGGAGAGTAGGTGTGGTGAATGTACCACATACTTGTGGCGATGGGCCCAGCAGAGACAAAATTCTGTTCATTTGTGCTATCCAAAGAGCGATATTTTGACATCAAAATTGTTTCCCACAGCCATAGACTTCTTAAAGTCTGTAGATCTCCACTGTGTAAGGGAGCTGGAGGTGAGATTTTTATGTATAGAAGACATGGGTCCTTTTGGACCATACCTGAGACAGATGCAAAACCTTCACACACTCCGTTTGGCATACATTCGTAAGGATTCAAGCATCAGTGGATCTCAAGAGCTGGAAGAGGAATGCATGAACAAATTGGTATCACAATTACCCAAACTCCACTGTCGCCAGCATCTCTATATCGACGATTCTCCTGCTCTAGTTGGCAGCCTGGCTGATTGTCTCGGGTGCCTGAAGAAGCCCTTGGAGACCCTGTCCATCACTCACTGTTATATCATACAGAGAGACTTGGATTACCTGCCCCTGCGCCTGAACCTTTCTTCGCTTAAACATCTCTACTTGTCTTACACAATGTTGGACAGGTGTATTCAGCCACTTGGCTATCTCCTTGAGAGCGTGAAAGGCACCTTGGAAACTCTTGACCTGGCCGGATGTCGGCTGGAGGATTCTCAATTTAGTGCTTTGATGCCTGCCCTGAGTCAATGCTCCCAGCTCCTCAAGATTGATTTTTACATGAATGAACTGTCTCTACCCGTCCTGAAACAACTGCTTCACCACACAGCCAAGCTGAACAAGCTAACCAAAGAGACATACCCTGTCCCTCTGGAGTACTATGATGGATGCCGAGTGCTTGTACGCAGATTTGATGAACTTGGTCCTGAGCTTCTGGATATACTCAGATCTGAAAAACAGCTCAAGGAAGTCTGTTTTTTCGCAGTCGCCGGCCCTACCTGTTATGTGCGCTATGCCTATGACCTGAAAGGCAGCCGTTGCTTGGGAAATACTGCAGCAGCAAGTTGCCCAGTGATGCCGATGGAATACTCTTATGCTCGAGCTATGGTTGAAAAGGTTTGGATTATCGAACCTTTAGACTGCTCCCCACAGAGCCCCCTACCATGAGTAGCAGTGCCCTTCTGCCCACGGCACAAAATAAATATGCTATGATTCTGGTTTGCTGGTGTCAGCTTCACAGCAAACAGTCAACTCAAAAAAAAAAAAAAAAGAAAGAAAATATTTTCTGTGCCTCTAACATGTCTTCTTCGGCTATTCCTATTATTCTTAGGGTTAGTCTGTTCATAGTGTCCCAGATTTCCTGGATGTTTTGTACCAGGAGATTTTTAAATTTAACATTTTCTGTGACCAAGTTATTCATTTCTTCTATTATGCCTTTAGGGCCTGAGATTCCCTTTCCCATCTCTCTTCCATCTATTGCATCCTCTTCCTCTGCCATCTATTCTGTTGTTAAGACTTGTCTCTAAGGTGGCTGTTTGAATTCCTAAATTTTTCATTTCCAGATTTCTCTCCATTTGGGTTTTCTTTATTGATTCTATTTCCACTTTCAGGTCTTAAACAGTTTTGTTAATTTCCTTCCATTGTTTCTTTGTTTTCATTGATTTATTTAAGGAATTTATTTGTTTCCTCTTTAAGGACTTCTATCATGGTCATAAAGGCTATTTAAAGGGTTTTTATTTTGTACTTCAGCTATGTTGCAATTCTCAGGGCCTACTGGGTTTTAGACAAGTCATATTGTCCTGTGTGCTATTGATTGTGTCTTGCACTGGTATCTTAACATATGGGTTAGTGATGGTTGTAATTCTTAGTGCTGATATCTGCTCTTGTTTTATTGGTTGGGTATTTTGTTCCTTTGTTTCTGTTGCCCTCTCTGGTTCTAAGGAGGGTATGATGGCTATGTGTCGCCTTCCAGGAAATCTTCTGGGATCTCACTACATGTGGCCACTGGGGTTTCCTGGTAAAATGTGTTTCTCTCTATTGGGAACTGACACTTAGAAAAGGGGATGGGCTAGGAGCAGTGATCAGGGGCTCTACAGGAGGGAAGAAAGCAGGGTCCATCACGATCTGCTAAGTCCCTGGGAATTGGGAAAGCATGAGGGGAAATCACATCTGCTGCAGAGGTAAGGATGAACCTGGGGGTTTGGATGGATATAGAGAAGAGAATGGCAAATAAAGATCTGAAGCTTGCCTCCCTAATAGCTGGCCTACTTGCTTCTCTACTAGGCTTGGCTGGGGGACTACAAGAGAAGAAGATCTTTTGGAGTTGAGGTCTGAGATAACAGGATGGGTGGGGAAGAAGTTTGGAGAAGTTCGGCTTGGTCCACTGGAGATGGGGGCAGAGAGCACGGCGAGGCTGCACCAGGTGGTCTGCTACAGAGTTGGGGTGAGAATGGGGCACTGAATTTAGGTGAGAGGAGAGAGAGGTAAAGATCTGCAGTTAGCCCACCACTTCCCTGGCCAGCCTAGTCATGCATTTCTTTTAAGATTTAGTTTTGTTTATGTATATGTATGTGTGTCTGAGTGACTGTATGGAACATGTGTACTGGTACCAGCTGAGGCCAGATGAGGGCTTTGCACTTTAGAAGTGGTTGTGAGCCTCCTGAAGTGGGTTCAGGGAACCAAACTGAGATCCTCTATAGGAGCAACAGGTAATCTTAAGCACCACACTGTCTCCTCAGCTCTGATTGGGCCATTCTCCATGTGCACCTATGATTTGAGAACAATGAGATTGTGCTGTGTTAAGCTTCTAAATAAATGGCAATTTGTGAAATAAAAAGGAATGTCTTTAACAGTGGCATCTACTCAAACATTATTTTGTTGAATTGTAGCCACATATTGATAATGTTCCTAGCGAACAAATCCTAACAGAAACCCTTTAATGTTTTATTTTTATTTAGAGAGAGAGAGAAAAGGAATATAAAGTTAAGCTGGTAGAGAGGTGAGGAGGATAGAGGAGGAATTGGGTGAGGGAAAAACATGATCAAGATATACTGTATGATAAAAAGTTGTAAAAACTGTAAAAAGGATCACACTAATTCAGACTAGTGAGCCAAGCCAGCTGTCATTTAACAAAGGTCAAGTTCTAGATTTGCTTATGTACCAATGATATGAAGACTTCTTGTTTGCTTGTACTTTGTTTGTTTTGCTTTTGGTTTTGATTTTGTTTGTTTTTCCAGACATGGTTTCTCTGCATAGCCTTGGCTATCCTGGCATTTGCTCTGTAGATCAGGCTGGTCTCGAACTCACAGAGATCCAACTGCCTCTGTTTCCCTAGTGCTGAAATCAGAGGTGTATACCACCACAGCCCATCTTAGTTTTTTTTTTTTATGAAGAGTCTTTGTATGCAGCCCAAGCTGACCCTAAAGTCCCAATTCTCCTACCACAGCCTCTAAAGGGCTAAGATTACATGTGTGTGTGACCTGGCAACTAAGGTATATATATATATATATATATATATATATATCCATCTGCTCTTAGCAAACTAACCATAAAAGACATTTTTCCAACTTTCTTCTCTTGAAAACTTCAGTATAACCATCATCATCATCATCATCATCATTATTGGGTTTTCAAGTCGGGGTTTCCCTGTGTAGCTTTCGAGCCTGTCCTCGAACTAGCCCTTTTAGACCAGGCTGGTCTCAAACTCACAGAGATTCACCTGTCTCTGCCTTCCAAGTGCTGGGATTAAAGGCGTGTCCACCGCCATATTCTTGTCCTGTATATTTGCCTTCCATTACAGATAAAACCAATCATTCTCATTTAAAAACAACTTGCTGTTTTTCCTGAACACATCATAAACCTGGAAGCTTCCTGTTAGTGTACATCTTATCATTCTCTATATAGTTAGAATGCAAGGTTGTTTTGCTTGATAATTTCCAACAGTTTTATCCTAATTAGAATTTTAACTACATAACTTTAGTTTGTAGTGAAGAACAGTTGCCAAGCAACTGTGAACTGTGCAGTCTAATCCAAGAGGCAGAGAGAATAGAGAGAATGTATAGTTGGCACGAGATTCAAAATAGAGGCAATGTCTCCATAAGGAGAAGTAGGATGCCATAAAGAGGAGAGAGAAACATCACAACCAACAACAACAAAAAATACTTCAAGCCAGGGAACTTAGAGTGTGATCAGTATGCAGGACCATGAGCTGGGAAGCACTTCTAGCCAGGAAGAGACTTTAGAAAGAAGCCTGGGATTCTATTCACTATCCCAACCTTAAGGATCACATGGCTCCCTAGAAGCTGTAACAAACTGTAGAGGAATGACTCAGAAGTGCAATCACTGGGAGTCAAGGCAAATGTTTCAAAGACACACATTTAGCAAACTGTGTTGGGGGTTGCTAAAACTCAGTTAAGTTTTAGTATCTTGACTGAAGTTGATCACACAAAGAGTATGTGTCTGTAGTCAAGTAGGCAAGAATTTGAATGCCAGTTCTGCCACAGACTAGTTATGTGAACATTGTTAGGCCATTTACCCTATTTTTCTCAAGTATACAATAAAGACAGGACTCCTACTTTATAGGGCTGTTAGGAAAATAACATGCGAGCTCTGATGCTAGTTGTGACTTGCTCTAGTTTGTTTTCTGTTGCTATCATAAAACACTGACAAAAATCAACACCAGGAGAAAAATATTTTTTTTAGTTTACAAATTATAGTCTATCACTGAGGATACTGCAGCAGGAATTCAAGCAAGAACCTATAAGCAGGGAGCAATGCAGAATTCATGGGAAAAATACTGCTTATTTTCCTGTTCCACCTGACATGCTCAGTTATGTCTCTTATAAAGCCTGGGTCCACCTACTTAGGAATGGTACCACCCATCGAAGCCAGGAACTTCCTACATCAGTTAGCAACCAAGAAAATATGCCACAGGCATAGGCACAGGCCAGTGAGGTGAAGGCTATTTCTTAATTAATGCACCATCTTCCAGGTGACTCTAGGTTTGTGTCACATGAATGTCTAAAACTAATTCTGACATTCTGTGTCTTATCAGTGTTGACAAGCAAACATGACACTTTAAATCATAGAATCTTTCCATCCTTGCTTGTTCCTGAGACCATATTAATCCCATATCTCCACCAACCGCACCCTATATATCCTTCTCTAGGGTCTAGCTTGATGAGTCTGCCTGACCCTCCGTTCCATGCACCTCCCCAACTCTCAGATCTAGCCTGGGTCCTAGTCTGACCACACCTACCTGGACCACAAGCCACCTCTAGGACTCTGTCAGGACCTGCTCTACCTACACACCAACACAAGGCTCCTCCCATGCCACACCCAAGCACTCCATCCAGCCAGATATCTCCCCACACTCCAGGCTTGAACCAAGATACATTTTACAAACCAGCCAATCTCCTCCACCCACATGGCTTGCTTCCATCTAAGTAATTTCCAACCTCTAAACCAGCTCATGCACAACCCTCTCTTCTGCCCCAACCTGCTCTGTCCATATCAGACAAAGAATTAACAAAATCTACATGCCCAGAACCCATTATAAACATACAAACAAAAAGAAAGGAAGGCTTTAACTTAACATAGCAAAATTACATATAACAAAACAGTTATCAAGTAAAAATTACAATAATCTTTTTTTTTGTTCATAGCAGCATTGTTTGTAATAGCCAGAACCTGGAAACAACCTAGATGCCCTTCAATTGAAGAATGGATGAAGAAAGTATGGCATATATACATATTAGAGTACTACTCGGCAGTAAAAAACAAGGACTTCTTGAAGTTTGCAGAAAAATTACAATAATCTTTATCATAACTAAGGAAAAGTATAACTATAACTAACTATTCTTAACTCCAACAAAGACTCCAGAAAGATACAATATTACCTAAGCAAACAAGAAAAAAGCAACTTTCAAACTCTAGAAATGACAGAGACATCTCGCTGCCTGGACAGTCATCCAAAGTTTCTCTGTACCGTTGGGGCATCCATCTTCAGCCTACAGGCCCATAGTATCCAGAGACATTTCCATGAAGCAGGAAATTTCAAGGTTAGTTCAGTCACTATCTGCTGTGTCCTGCAGACTGTCTCGCAGACTCCTTCATAACCCGAAAGATCATTTCACCTTTAGGAAAGTTCAGCAGTCCTCTCTCTGCAG